GTCTCCTTGAACTGCAAAGTGAAAGATTAAATCATACTAACTAAAATACTAGTAGGTTTAAGGACAAATCAAACCTAATTTTGCAACTTCCAGTACTTGTTATCCAATCATAATCACAAAATAATATGGGTTTAAAGGCAAATTGAAACCTCATTTTGCAACTTCATTTCTCACCCTTTATTATCTTACTAAAAGAAATGTCAAATAAGTAAAACCAAACAGAGACAGTGCTGTAATTGTAAAGCTGCACTATTCATGCATCAATTTGCTGACCAAACATAGAAGCAATTAAAAACTATATAAATCAAGGATAAGCCTCAATAATGGACTGAACAGCTTGAATGCGCGTCACATTGTGTCGATTGAACCCTGCTTGGCCTAGTACATATGCCCATTCCTTGAGAGTCCTTTCTTTCCCCTTGTTTGTATGAGCCATCATCACCATGTCCAGCATCAATCTCACATACTTGAGCTTATCTCCTTCATCTTCTTCAATCACGGCTTCTACGATAATCACCTTCCCTTTGTCATTTGGAATAGCTTCTCTACACTTTCTCAAGATATTAATGCATTCTTCATCTCCCCAATCATGCAGAACCCACTACCATTCAAAAGATGCAGAGTTTAATAAACAAAAGAAAATGGACATGACTCGGGATTTTCCAAGAAAATCAAAAGTAAATGTCATGATTTACAATTAGGAAATGTCTACGTATATATATAAGTGCCAACAATCTCTCCCTCTAGGTAACGTCATAGTAAAATTGGCCTCAAGATAAGGGAATTCAAATTTTAAGTTTTTAGAATACTAACCATGAGGAAAGCAGCATCGGCCTTTGGCACACTTTCAAACATGTCACCTCCAATGTGTTTGACACCAACACAGTTAGGTGCAGCAGACACAACATGAGGAAGATCAAAGTTAATGCCATGAATCCAAGGAAAGGCCTTCACCAACATGCGCAGAGCGGTTCCATCACCCCCTCCTACATCAACCAAAGAGTCCAACCCATCTAATAATTCAGGACAACCATCAATTATTGCTGGCACAGCCACTCTAGCATCACAAGCCATTGCATCATCAATGAGCTTGCTGTGGGCAGGGTTTGCAGCTGCATAGCGCCATACATCCTCACCATGAGCAGCCTCAAATGCAGAGGATCCATTGGATAGGACACGAGCACTGAGACCATGCCACGGTGCGAGCATCACTGGGCTGCTCTCTAGCAACACAAAAGCAGCCATGCTATTTTTGCCATGTCTCATGAGAAGGCGAGAAAGCGGTGTTTGAACATAAGCAATGGTACCAGCTTGGGTCTTGGAATCTTCTTTGAATATGCCGCGGTGCACCAAGAACCTCATGATGCGGTGTAGGGCATAGGGAGAGCATCCGAGGGTGGAAGATAGCTCAGAGACTATCATGGGGCCGCCATGGTTTTCCAAGACATCAGCTATCCCAAGCTCAATGGCACACTTCACCACTGCCATATCAACAAAGCCAAATACATATTTCCACATCTCCACTTGGGCTTGTGATTCTTCTTCCTCCTCTCTACTTGTTGCTTCTTTTGTTGTTTCTCCTTCCATCTTTCAATCTCTAGTGTGCACACTCAAAATTTGGAGTGAATATCCTAGTATAATTTTGGTAATGTGTGGTGTGGTAATGAAGGTGAAGCTTCCAATATATAAGTAGAAATAGGTGAGCATAAGGAAAGTGGAGCTCACAAGTGGGAATAAGAAATGGTTAAATAAAACATTTCTATTTCCTAGTTGGGCGTTCCAACTGCAGAGACCAGCCCATCAATTGGATTGAACACAAGCAAAGACAAGTTTCATGTGATACTTAATCCATTATTATACACAATTGCAGTTTCTGCCAAACATAATCTCAAGTAGTGATAGATGTCACTTCCCGAGGCCAGTTTCATAGGATTTTTTTTGTTTTTTCTCCCAGGGTGTTTAAGGGCATGTAATATAGATGCGTCTAGTGATTAGATTCACCCAAAACATGAGAATAGTTTATATTTATATATATAATGTAGCAGAGTATATTATATGTAACTCTTGGGCAATTTAAAAGTTGTAACCGTTCCCTATTCAACCCCCAGCCTTTTTAATTTACTTATAATACTGAGTATAAACTTTTTTCATTAGAATAGTATGTAAATATATATATATATATAGAATAGATGATATAAACTAAAATTAACCTTTAATTATACTCTTATTCGGCACGTTAATGTAAATGAGCTATATTCAATGAGACATTTTATGAAAGTAAATATATATATATATATGTTAAAGAAATTTCTTAACATTATATATATATATATATATATATATATATATATATATAGACACACACACATATATATGTCATGAGTATGTATTTAAAACAGATAGATAGATATAGATGTCGTGAATATGTATTTTAACAAAAGAAATTCTTAAAATAATAAAATAATGATTAACTAAAATAAATTGCTATTTAAAACAGATAAATAAAAGTTTAAATTTTTAATTTCTATTTAAAGAAGAGGAAGAGTTTTTCACTAATTAGATATGCATGTATAGGTTTATATGTGGGATATGGTATATACGTTTAGAAACTGATACAATTAATTTCATGATTAACTAAAATAAATTGCTATTTAAAAGGGATAAATAAAAATTAAAACACATTATCAGTTTTCTATTTAAGGAAGAGGAAAAAAATTTCACTAATTAAATATGCATGTATATATTTATATGTGGGACGTTCTATTTTTTTTTTTTTTTTTTGAATTAATGTTCGCAGTTTGAATTATTATAGATTAATGAACTCTTTTATGTGAAAAAAGAAAAAAGAAAAAAAAATCAAAAGTGTTAAGAAATTTCAAAAAAATTATAAACACTATTGTTTACCAAATTTACTTGCTTTCTTTTTGTTATATATATTTTCTTTTCGTTTTTTTTATATCATATTTTTTTAATTTTTATCATTCTATGTTATAATCTTGCTATATATGGATATATATGTCTTGAATTTTTATTTTAACAAAAAAAAATTCCTAAAATAATAAAATAATGATTAACTAAAATAAATTGCTATTTAAAACAGATAAATAAAAGTTTAAACACATTATCAGTTTTCTATTTAAGTAAGAATAAAAGTTTTTCACTAATTAAATATAAATGTATATATTTATATGTGGGACGTGCTATTTTTTTTTTTTTTTTTTTTGAATTAATGTTCATGTGCGGTACGAATTATTATAGATTAATGAAATCTTTTTATGTGAAAAAAAAAAAATTAAAAGGGTTAAGAAATTCCTTACACTTTAATTTTGAATAGCATTAGATATGTATGTCGTGAATATGCATTTTTAACAAAAAAATTTCTTAAAATAATGATTAACTAAAATAAATTGTTATTTAAAAGAGATAAATAAATGGTTAAACACATTATCAGTTTTCTATTTAAGGAAGAAGAAAAGTTTTTCACTAATTACATACGCGTGTATATATTTATGTGTGGGACGTGCCTTTTTTTATTATTATTATTGGAATTAATGTTCATGTGTGGTATGAATTATTATAGATTAATGAACTCTTTTTATGTAAAAATAAAAAATAAAAAATAAAAAAATTAAGAAATTCCTTACACTGTTTCAGTAATTATAAATACTAATGTTTGCCAAATTAGTTGCTTTCTTTTTGTTATATATATTTTATTTTCTTTTTTTATATATATCAATTAATGAACTCTTTTTATGTGGGAAAAAAAAAAAAAAAATCGAAAGTGTTAAGCAATTCCTCACACTTTTAGAATAGTCTAGATAGATATAGATATAGATATAGATATAGATTAGGGGTGTTAATTTGTGTTCGGGGGTCGTAATCGTGTCGTGTCAATTTAAGGGTATTATACTAAACAGCTCAACCCAAACACAATCCATTTAATAGTCGTATCATGAACTCTCAACACTAACCCAACTTATTTATTAAACGGATTACACGTGTAACCCGTTTAATGACCTATTTACAAAAATATATATACGTATATATAATATTATTTAAATTATTAATAATACTCAATAAAATAATAAATACTAAAAAAAAATATAAGTTTTAATCAATCAAATTACTAAATAGTTTCTAGTTTACAAAAGATTAAATTATAGGACACAAATTTATACAGTAATTTTATAACTTAAATAGAAATTTATTTACGACATATATAGTTAAACGTGTATAAACAGGTTACACGGATTGAATCCCTCAACCCAAATACGACATTATTAACTAAACGAACGGGTTAATCGTGTCGACCCGTTTATGACACGAACCCGTTTAAGGTTAACTCAAATCCATTTAACTCGTGCCGCGTTCAAGTCATGTTGGAGAGTCGTGTCAACTTTTGCCACCCCTAATATAGATATAGATATATATATATATATTTTTTTATATATATATCTATTAATTTACTCTTTTTATGTGAAAAAAAAAATCAAAATCAAAATCGAAAGCGAAAGTATTAAGAAATTCCTTACACTTTTAGAATAGTATAGATATAGATTTTATTTATTATTATTTTTATATCAATTAATGAACTCTTTTTATGTGGAGAAAAAAAAAAAAAAAAAATCAAAAGTGTTAAGAAATTCCTTACACTTTGAATAGTGTATAATAGATATATATAAACAATAATAAAAAAGATAAAAAGAAAGGGAATGAAATTGATAGCGCGCCCGACAACGGTAGACTGATTACTGCTTTGATCCTAGGCATGACTCCATTAGATTGGCACAACAATGTAGCACAGCCTCTAGAAGGTTTAACAATCACCATTTCATTAATAAGAGTATTTAAGGCAACATGATCAAAAAGTTCTAACCACCGTACCTATGTGATAAAAAAGGGAGATTGTCCATTGCAGCAAGAGTTTTGGCCTACAACTAATGGATATGCACCGCATATTATATAGTAGATGAACCCAAAATTAAGTTGGCAACCAAGCATTTGACCGTGCCAAGGCTCGTGTGCCTCCTGATAGCTTTTCATTGTTTTTTATACAGTAGAGTTTAAAATTCTTTAGACCATGTTTCCCAGGGTTCAACAAAAATGCCCACTTCGAGATAAAGGGGAAAGATTTTTCAATACATCAATAACATAATTCTCTTTCTCCATCTAGCAACTAATAACTTTCAACCATGATATCCTATTTGCTAAACAAATATACAAGATCAATAACACCATCCTATTTTTACCACCACAACAAAATCCAGAGGGATCTAAAGCCTATGTAAGCAACTTCCTTGATATGACTCACTTTGCTCAATCGCGCTCAGGAGCATCCCCACCAATAGTCTTTCTGGCACTGAGGCTCCCAGCATAGGACCACAGCTTCTCGAAGTCGGCTGGTATTGATTTTTCCAATTTTTTTTCAAGTCTGCAAAAGTTTAAAGGAGAGGGGACCCTCTCTGGGGTTCTGCCCATGGGAGGGGATGCGCAGAAAGTCGGTGTTGCAAATGGAGAGCTATAAGGGGTGTGTTGAATCGAGAAGGGGCTAGGTGAAATTCGTTTTTGGATAGGAAGACCATCCAAACTTCCCCTACGGAAGAAGGACTTCAATTCTGCTGCAGCACATTGCTTGGTGGCATCATCTACATAAAGGACATCTTCAATCCTGGCCCTTATGTTAAAGGCCAGGCTCTCCATTACTCTTGAATAGCTTTCAAGAATAGACTGCCCCACATCCTGTAACCCAAAAAAAAAAAAGGTATGGTGAGAGTTGCAAAATAGGATGCAGACAAAAATTACCAAATAAAAAATGAAAGATGAAGTGATCTGTTCTTGTTGGATGACACCTTAAATCATCACAAATACTAAACCTTCACGAACTGATCATCTAATTAGAGAAACTACATCTCCTTTTTCCTAATAAAGAAGATTACATTCATTTTGTAATTCATCCCATAAAGCCACCAAAAATGTTCCAACTATTATAAACCAAGAAAATAATGGTTGAAACAATGTAATTTGCATAGCTTTTCAACTATTTGCAGCCCATCTAAATCAGAGATGTCTGATATTCTTGGTTGTTCAATGGAAAGATTGTGATGGTAAGAAGGTGCATTGAATTTTCACATAATTTAACCACTAGTGTCCTAAGTCAGTTATAATTTTCAGACCCAATATCCACCAAGTGAAATATTAGGAAAGATAACCAAAAGAAGAAAAAAAATAATACCTAAAAAAAGGCTAGTGTGTACCGAATATATCCCAACAGTGTAATACTTCTGGTAGCTAAAATCTGAGGACGAGCTAGGAAAGATACCTTATTGTATTGAATTTTGTTCATATCCAATGCAGTTTGCGGAAGACCTGGGAATCGAAATCTCAGCCAATTTAAGAGGGTCTCAGCTCTTTCACCCAGAAAATGATTCTTTTGGCCATGAGCAACAAGGCCTTTGACCTTGCCACTCCATGATGAATGTTTAGCCTTCAGGTGATTTGTACATCTCTTCCTGTCTTTCTGTTTCCACACATGCACAGCTGCCTCAATTCTGTTTGCTACTTCCAGAGTTTGATGCTCTGATGATAGATCTAGGCAATCAAGGATACTTTCTGGAGAGAACTGATCAGCAGTTATGTAGTGATAGATTATATCGCCTAGACAAGCTTTGCCACTCTGCAATGGCAAATGGATTATGGAACACAAATAGGAGTACCAAAGGCAAGCATGACATCATTATGAACGGGAGGGGGAGGCATATCATAAGAATAAATTAACCGTATGAATGCAAGTATTTATTCAAACAATATAATGAATAATTGTTTAGAGCTTAGAATATCAGCTGAAAAGTATTTAGCATTCATGAGTATACATCATTGACAACCACAGTTAAGCAGTACTATGTTAACTCTGTGTGTGCATTCTAATATATGTTATGTAGTGCTTCCGAAAACAAAATCCACGGAACTCTCCACTAAAATAAATGCACGATGCTAGTAGTCCCCACTTTCTTCTTAGCTACACAGCCCAAACATTGCCCAAGCCTATTTACATAATTTAAGTGTTTTGGAGCAGGAATTACACAATGGGTTAGAATTGTACTGAAAATTGAACTTAGAATCGTAGGGCTTTACCCTGGGTTAGAGGGAGCCCTTCCAGAAATTCTCAAAGGCCTGAGCCAAACCCAGGCCTGAGAGGGGGTTTGGAAATAGTTTTCAACCAGCAATTGACGCGCCTCGGTTAGTACCTCACTAGCTGCGTCATTGCCCCAAGCGCAAAGATGGTTTGAGCAGATGGGTTTCCCTGCTTTTATAATGCTTTCTTCTGACATGATGCTTCTCATTTAGTCGATGTGGGACAATTAGACAGACTGCATGGTTGGATCTTGGTTCCACTCCACATCTTCTCCTCAGTTGGCCTATCCATATACGGAGTACTAGTCTTCATAGCAAACAGAAATATAATGAGATTCTAACTTCAGATTACTCTTCCCAGAGCATTAACCAGAAGCAAATTTCGATTAAATTTAAGTGGATACAATGTTAATTTTATCTTATAAAGGAAATGGAAAACGCTAAATCCCACCGTGTTCAAGTTAATTAAGACAATTCATGTTGAATGGAATTTTCTGTTATTGTTCCTTCTGTTCTCCATTAACTGCATCAAACAAATACATCTTAAAAAACCATATGATGGTCCATCTTCTTGAAGGATATCCCTTAATATAGTTTGTATATAATATAACTGAACAAAACTTAATAAAGTTGGAGGTTTGTAATACATATGGAATTACATCTATTTAAAAAATTCATATTCTCAAACGAAAATATTTCTGACACATATTATCTCTAATTATGATCAATTGATGGCCTTCAATTTCCAACTAATAAATTCAATCAGGTCCAACTCATGACTTATTTTCAGAAATTAAGCACAAATTCAGAAGACCGAAGGTTTAACAAAGGGGCTGGCTACATGTGGTTAGTGAACTTTTTAGTCACATTGTACTGCAAATTGAAGAAGATTCAATTATAACAACTAAAATAGTAGGCTTAAGGACAAATCAAACCTAATTCTGCAAATTCCAGTACATGTTTTCCAATCATAATCACAAGTTTTATCTGTCATGGGGCCGCCATGGTTTTCCAAGACATCGGCTATCCCAAGCTCAATGGCACACTTCACCACAGCCATATCAACAAAACCAAATACATTTCCATATGTCCACTTGGGCTTGTGATTCTTCTTCTTCCCCTCTATTTGTTGCTTCTCTTGTTGTTTCTCCTTCCATCTCTCTATGTCTAGTGTGCACACTAATCAACAATTGAAGTGAATCCTAGCTATAGAAGATTCACTTTGGTTATTGACTATGGTCAATTGAAGAAATTATTTGAGATACACATCACCAAAAAAAAAAAACTTCATGTCACCCACTTTGCCCTGTCCCATACAATTTCAGGATTTGAAAGCAACTTCTACTGCAAATTTGGATTTTAGTTGATACCTTTTTTTACCTCTATCCCAACACCTCGCAAAGTCCCACTTGATAACATAAAATGATTGGATGAGATCTTCGTTATAGGAGGCAAAGTTGATCAATTTTTTAATTTTTTTTTCTAGCATATACATAATTACAGTATGGCATGTTCTTGTCTTCTTTCATAATCTTCTTGTTGCAATCTTTGTTGGTCTGTGAGCCTAATCCAGAGAAATAATAAGTGCGTTGGTCTGAAATTTTCAAAATTGTAAGTGATTTTTATAGTAGAAAATTAAAAGAAATTTAAGTTGGAGAGATGAGCAAAGTGAGAAATTAGAAGTGTAAACAAGTCCGGAGAGTTAGAAGAGCTGGTTGAATTGTTTCAGGCATTGGCTGATCTTTCATTGATCAAGGAGACAAAAAAATAATGCGGAGTAATTAAAAAATTAGACCTTAATATATATTTATACTACTCTTTCCTTTTTGCAGGTTAGAGTTGGAACTTACAGTCACTTTAAAATCATATCATTATAAAATGGATATGTATATTTAAGCATGTTAAACCATATTCAAAAGACGTTGATTACGTTCTTCCATGTTCATTAAATTTATAATGCCCTTTTCTCTTTTCAGGTCTCGGCCCTCGATTGTTATGATAATTGTGACTCATGTTTCCTACAGTATTGAATGCCTTAAAAGTACTCAATAATGTTTCGAGCAATGATTGAATATACTAAAATGGTTGGATTAGTTCGGTCACGGATAGGATTATGGGATTAAATTAATGGGTTATCAGATGAATGTTTTAATCTACTCCTATTTAGCTCAGATTGAGATCAAAATCAAATTCACTTACGTGTATAATTATAAAGTTATATAGAGTAGGGAATTATTAATATATAGAATGGTGCATGGTATAACCATACAATCAAATGACTATATTGATAAATAATTAATATATATAAATTTAATAATACATAACTAATATTTATAACATTCATATATAGTATATTGTTATGTAATAATATATATATATATATATATATATATATATAATTTTAATCGGATCGGATTGCCTATAATTCATATATGATTTGTTAAATTATCGAATTCAGATCATTTCGGATTATTAAATTTTTTTTTCAATTCATATTCAGATAATCGAATTAATTTTGGATCAGGATCGGTTCCATTGACAATTCTAGAATGGATACATTCTAGTGGACGTGCCTATGCCCATGATGATGGAATAAGATTTCAGGATTTGAAAGCTAACTCTTATTGCAAATTTGAGTTGATCGAAGAACAAATTTGAGTTGAGAGTATGTTTTGGTATAGAGAGAGCGGAGGGAAAAGTAACGAGAAGGAACACTGAAGAGAGAGAGAGAGTTAATTGTAAATATTATTCTCTATTGGTGAGGAATACTGAAGAAATAGAAAGTTAATTATGCATAAAAGTTGATTTAAAAAATATTTTACGGACTGCTGTCAAACACTAAAAAATAAAAAAATAATAAATAAAATTAAATAAAAATATTTTGTTTATTTTTACGTCCAAACAATTATCCCACGTGATAGACTCACAATTTCTGAACGCGTTCCAGCAAAGGTGATCAATTATATGGCGTGTTACTTACCCACAAAAAAATACAAAAACAAACCTTTCAAAAAAATAAGTAAATACAAAAACAAAACAAAATAATATGACTTCTTGTTATCTTCTTTTATGATATTATTGTTGCAATCTTGTTGGTCTGCCATACTTATCAAGATAAATAATGAGAACAAGAAAATCATGTTAGTCTCTAAGATTCACAAGCGGGACCAATACCATCCAATTTGAGATTTGAGGCAAAATTGTACATGGTTTTTATATTAGAAAATTAAGAGATAACAAATTGAGAAATTAGAAGTGAAAATAAGTCAAAAAGAAAATCGAGAACAAGATGTGAGACTATTATAGAAAAATAAAGAGATGGTTTTTTTTTTTTGTTTTTTTTTTTTTCACAGTTAAATCTGCGAGTATGAGCCCATATTAGCATTAAGAATAAGATTTTTTTTTTTCCCCTTCAAATCAAAGCCATAAAATGCAAAATGCAAAAAGAAACCATCATCCGTGGACAAATCTCATTTTTTTTTTTTTTTTGTAGGTTTCTGTATCATTTCTGTAGTTTTATTCCAAAGTTATTTTCAGGTGGGACCTCTTCATGTAATAGGTGCAACATTGAGATGAGGTATTTATTTTTGGCAAAAACTGAATTTTTATCTTTTAAACAATTTTTTTTTTTTTTTTTCTTTTTTTTTTGGATATTCCTTGGATTTTACACATCTCCTTGGATTTTACACATATAGAACAACAAAGATGATGAGCGTGTTCACAAAGGAGTACATGCTTCACAAATTACAACATGCCATTCTAGATCATTCATTTACAAATTCATGATCACAAGTCCATGCTCCTCGAGGGATGACATACAGAGCATAATATATTTAAAATTGACAAAATTATTCAAAATACTAAATAACTAGTATTAACTATTAAACATAAATTAAACATCTTGAAATTTATGTTATTTATCCAGGAATAATTAAAAAAAATAGCATAAATATGGACTAATATAGGCCATTTCCCATCAATGTTCTCCCAAAACAATAATTTGGTCGTCCAGCCCCTTTTCATGATCTCTTTTACTTTATAAATAATTACCAAATCCCGCCCTAAAATTCCTCTCACAGAACAAAATTTTGAACTTCTAGTTATGGAGACCATCCCTAAATGGTATGGACCCCTCCAAAAATGGGCGTATGCCACTTTTCGCGGCGCGCGCACGGTATTCTTTAGTAAAAGGCGAAAGAATAGTTCGCTTTGTGCTCACCACGTGGCTGCGTGTATAGTTGTTTCCAGAGGACTCGTTGTTATATACTAGTTTTGTCAGAGGCAACTCTCTCCACTTGCTCGATGTGGGAAAAACCTTTTTTTTTTTGCTTGTATAACATTACAAAAGCCCAAATGTTCCCATCTTCACCGAGTTGGGTTCTTCTCAAACTAGTCCCTAAATCAAAAAGATGAGATGGACAAGACTGGGCTTTTATTATATAGATTGAAGGGATTGAACAAATATATATATATATATATATATATATAGAGAGAGAGAGAGAGAGAGAGCAGTATTATATATGGCTTCTTGGAACGACACCAATATATAGTCTTCGACTCCACATCCATATAATCCTTATCTAACTCAGCTTCAAAGATTATGGCCATGGCCATAATCTTCAACTGTGACTAAAACATTCAACATCTGACCTATTATTGCAAAATGGTCTACAAATTGTGTCCAATTGAATATATATATTGGCCATGATTAGAACCCACTGCAAAATGGTCTCGAAACTGTGTTCCAGTATTCCATCTCGCGGCCTCCATATATAAAGTTTTCTTTTTCCTGCCATTAGGTAAAATAGGTAACTATAACATAATCATTCACTTTCTTTTTTACAGTAGAAATAAATTTATAAATATACCTAATTTAATTAATAAAAATTAGTAACTTTGCTGTAGGGCTTTACCCTGGGTTAGAGGGAGCCCTTCCAGAAATTCTCAGTGGCCTGAGCCAAACCCAGGCCAAAGAGGGGGTTTGGAAATAGTTTTCAACCAGCAATTGACGCGCCTCGGTTAGTACCTCACTAGCTGCGTCATTGCCCCAAGCGCAAAGATAAAATCCACACAGAGGCTGTCCTTGTTTTATAATGCTGTCTTGTGACATGATGTTTCTCATTTAGTCGATGTGGGACAATTAGACAGCCAATTTGTATTTACTTCAGTCCCCTTCCCTCAGTCGGCCTTTTCATATTGTCATTCCTAG